TGGTACGGAGGGGACATCTCCTGCAAGCTCCTCAACTTCCTCAAGCTCTTTGCCATGTACGCGGCCGCCCTGGTGCTGGTGGTCATCAGCCTGGACCGGCACGCGGCCATCCTCCATCCCTTCTCCCGCGCTCGCCGCCGCAACGGACTGCTGCTCCGCGCCGCCTGGGCCGGCAGCGTGCTCCTGGCTTTGCCCCAGGTAGGGCTCGATGCCCTCCCCGTGTGGTTTGCCCAGGCTGGGGTGGTTTTGGAGACGGGTTTCCCCATCCCAGCAGCCCCAACAAGTCCATCCCAATCCACGGGCTCCACCACCACCGGATTGGCTTTGCTGAGCGAAGTGGTGTGGTTCCTGCGTTGGGTGCTCAGCGCTGCTTTGCACCTTCCTTATAGCACCCGTTCACTGCAACACCATCAGGGTGTTATGCTAAGGGCTGGGAAAAAATTGTGCCCGCTATTTTTTATTCCTCATGCACATGGTTATCTTCTCCTAAAAATGCATCACTGCACCACTGCAAAACATGTTGGAGCAGATCAAGAGAAACCTGAGCAGTTCCTGACAAAAATAACATTTGGTATGGCCAGAAAATGGGATTTCACAGCCGTCAGCTCCCACCCATCCTGGCCATAGCCATGAGTTAGGTGCCCAGGGCGCCTCCCCCAGTCCAACAGTGGCCAGGAGGTGCTCTCCATGCACAGCCAGGAGCATCTGCAGGACGTGATGCCCTGCTCCAAAGCCTCTCTGAGTTATTATTTGGTTCTCCATTTCAGCTTTTCCTTTTCCACCTGCACACTGTCCCGGGAGGGAACTTCACCCAGTGCGTTACTCACGGGAGCTTCCGAGCGCATTGGGAGGAAACCGTCTACAACATGTTCACCTTCACCACCCTCTACATCACCCCCCTGAGCGTCATGATCATTTGCTACATCCGGATCATTTGGGAGATCAGTAAGCAACTAAAGATCAATAAAGGTAAGCAGGTCCCAGCCCTTTAGTGTCCACCAGTGCGTTGTTGGGTCTGTCCCAAGACCCTTTGAAGGGTAACCCAACTAAGGGGTTTTACACAAACTTCTCGACCCTCTTCCTTGCTGTCTTCTGCTTCCTGTGGGCCACGGACCAGGCCATGAGATGGTCTCCCCTCTCTGGCAGAAGCACAGTCATGGATGGTTATGTTCTCCTGGTTTTCTCCCATCTCCAGCTATCCTTTTGATTCTCCCTGGCAGGTTTGATAAGAAATCAAAACGACCACATCTCCAGGGCACGCATGAAGACTCTCAAGATGACCATAGTGATTGTTGCCACCTTCATCATCTGCTGGACCCCATACTACCTCCTGGGCTTGTGGTACTGGTTCCAGCCAGCCATGATCCAGAAGATGCCAGAGTATGTCAACCACAGCTTCTTTCTCTTTGGCTTGCTGCACACCTGCACCGACCCTGTCATTTATGGACTGTACACCCCCTCCTTTCGGGAGGACGTGCAGTTGTGTCTCAGGGGCATTGAAACAGCCATTACCAGGCACGAGAGACACAAACCCGTCTCCATCTCGGAGAAGAACATCAAGGATGGTGCTGTAAATGGTGGGGTGGCATCAGGGGGCTCCAATGGGACAACTGTCAACACGGTCTGCTGAAGAGATGTACCCACAAGGAGATGGGAGGCACAGCTTTGGGGGCTGCTTTGTCCCATAGGATCATTCTGGAGGCTGTCATAAGGAGGTTTGCCACCCAGCTTTGGTGGGTGAGGGTCTCTGGCCAGAAACTGGGAATGTGTCTCCTGCCTCTACTCAGGGTGAAAAACATTTGGGGGTATTTATGGTTGTTATTCCATATTCTGGCAGCCCCGTGGCAACTAGAAAACCATCCTTTTTGTACCCTACGCATGCTCTAGCCCTGATTCTGGGATCAAGTATCTGCCAGCATCGACCCCTAAGAGGAGACATGTTGGCTCCTCCGTGGTCCAGGGCCACATCTCCCAGGGTAGCCAATGTATAAGTGCCCTATGCACCTACACCGAAGTGCGGAGCTGCAGAGATGCACAGCGCTATGTGGTGTCACCCTGAGAGGCTGCAAAGGTGCCATCACAGGCTTTTACTCCATTTTCTCCACCCGCTGTAGGAAAGGCTCTTTGGAAATTTTGGCTCTCCTGGCTCCGAGCCTACCTGGTTCTCCCATGGCCATGTGTGAAGCCCTGGGAAGGATGTAAATCTTTAGGGAGTGACTAATGCAAGGACATCAGTCCCTCTGGGCTGCCTCCACACTGGGGGGAGAAGGTGCTGCAGGGATGGAGGGGCTTGGGCAAGAGGGGTATGAAGAACTGCAGTGGGATGGGATGGGATGGGATGGGATGGGATGGGATGGGATGGGGTTTCTTCTCCCTTTTGGAGCCAGCCAGAAGGGAAAACAGTCCCCGCTGCCTTGTTCTGGCGTGCAGTATGAACACATCCTTACATAGCAGCTCTTTGGGACAGAGGGTTGACCAGGCGAGAGAGTGTTTGGGGTAACCAGGGGGTGAGAACCGACACTGCCCAGCCCCTCTTGACTCTCTCCAGGGCAGGAGCTGGCAGGGCTCAGACCACGCGCTGGGCTGTCCCCAGCAGCTGGCACGGGCTAATAGGAGCAAACCCCACATTTTCTCCTCTCTGTTTTCCCCTCTCTCGTTTATACACATTTTCTTTACCTTAATGGCTGGACCCAACACCAGCATCTCATCTCCGCCCCCAGTGGGGTGGGTGCAGCCAGGTGATGCCTGTGGTGTCCCAACGAGGAAGGTGATGGGAAGCACCTGTGGGTGAAGGGGCCCATCAGCACCCACCTGGCACCCACGGGTGCTGATGGTCTTTGGCTGCACTGCGAGGGGAAGGGAGGCTGCTGGAGGGGATCAGCTGAGCTGTGGTGAGTGAAATGGGTTTTTTTGCCTTTCGCCAATGTGCCTGAAGTTGCTTGTGAAGGTAGAGGCCTCTTCTCTGGGTGTGGGTTTGTTGAAGGAGGTGGCTTTATTGAACTGTGTTGTTCCCTTTCATGCAACTAGAAGTAGTAGATTATTTGTTCGTTATGTGCTGATTGTTGTTAAATGCAGTTTTTGCTTTTGAAGAGGAATTTAGTTTTGAGCCACTGGGTTGTTTTTTTTTTTTTTTGGTTTGTGAAATCTTTGGGTAGCTCAGGAGCTCTGGACTTGGCAGGAGGCAGCTCCCTGGGCATTTCTGTGACCACTGCAGCTTTGAATGAGCATCTGGACTTTATCAGGATGAAAGAGCTTTGTTTTAAAAACAATTCTTAACCTGCTGTGGCTGCCTGTGTAGGGGAGCTGGTTTTTTTTCCTCCCCCCACGAAATCTCCTTTGGGTACCGAGGGGATCCCTGTCTCCAAGAGGGGATGGATCGGTCAGAAAGGATCTGGACAGTCTCCCAGTGCCCCAGCTAACAAATTATTAAAATTAGAGAGGTGGCAAGTGGTGTTTGTAGGTTGGCTGAGGCTGGGCAGTGACGATATGGGAAGCCACGGTGCTCAGGGTGATGCCAAGCTGTGGACGGGTCTCGAGCACTTGCCTTTCCCCATGCTAACTATCGTTTATGCTAAACATGCTGCCCAAAGGAGAAAAAAATTCAATTAGAGCTGCAGGAGCCCAGACCGGCTGGTGGGGATTAGTGTGAGTCCTTTAGGAAGCATCCAAACTCCAATGAGATGCATAATCGCCGTTTGGCTTTCCTGGACTCATTCTGCTCAAGGTTAATTACGCAACGCTAATGGGAGCGGGGCTCGCTGCTGCCAGGTTGGCTGGGCTCGACCGGTGGAAATAAGCGTTTCTTGTAAGGTGATGGGAATGACTTGTGGTAGGGGAAGCTAATTTATTCCTCAGACACTCATTTGGTCTCACTGTTTATATTACTGATGATGGCTAATGGGAGGCAGACCTTGAAGGTGTGTTGGTTTTCTGGAAAGCCTTAAATAAGCAGGAAAGTGTCTTTAATCTCCTAAGAACATTCTTCATCTGCTTTCCGCTGAGTGGGAGAGAACAGGTCCAGCGTTGCTCACGCACTTTAGGCCATTTGTCCCCTCTTGTACAGCGGCAGGAGAGCTCGGAGATCTTCTCTGAGGAGCAAGAAGCATTTTTACCCCGGTGGGAGGGACCCATGGGTCTGGTGAGAGGGCAGAAACAGGTTTGGCTTTAGATGAAGAGCAGGAAAATCAGAATGCTGGCAAGGATACATACCTTGGTCCTTGGGGGCAGCACGGCACATCCCTCGGGATGCTCGCAGGCACTCCAGCGCTGCTCCTTCTGCTCGCCTCTTGATACCTTCCCTCCCGTTGCTGGTGCTCGAGGCTGACATTTTGGGAAGCCCGGAGCGTGGGCAAGGTACCCAAAGTGACAGCTTTCACGGTAGAAGGAAAATGTCACTAGAGGAGCGTGCTGGCAAGCCGTGCGCCCAACGCGCGTGGGAAGGGGGAGCGAGCAGGCGGGCAGCACCTCCCTGGGGGGAGCTGGGGCAGCCGCCGGCTCACTGGGGATCGACCCGGGTCTGCGTCCTGCCAGAGGTGGACCAAAGCCCAGGCCTGGTTTGAATGTCCCTGCGTTTCTGATTCTGCATTTCTTAAATCCATTTGTACCTTAAGAGAGCAAAAGATTTTTGCATCACTCATCAGGAACGCGAAAGCCGGAGCCTGGCTCCTCTCCGCCCGGGGGGTGATCCTGCTTTCTGCCGTGGTTGCCTCTCTCCCCACATTGCCTCAAACCCAGGTCTCCAACAGCACCTGCCCTCCTCCTCAGCTGGCTCCTGAGATCTCTCCACATATATATTTATTATCTATTTCCCCTTATGGAAGGAAAATTCTCCCACTTCCCCAAAATCTGCCCGTTCCACCCGGGAAACACCAGCTGCCACGCTTCTCCTTGCAGTCACAGCAGGGTCGGATCTGTCTGACTGGGTAACAGTTCCTTAATATTCACCACAGTAATGTAACGAATGTATTAATAAGCACAGGTAGCTCTATATTTTACAACTCCTCGACCTCACCCTGGGCTGCCTGCTTCAGACACAGCGGTCCTTTGTTCGGGAGGAAATTCTGATTCATTCCCCATTAGCATTTTTGTAGTACCGTGCATGTTCAAAGAGCCACACAAGTGGCTTAAGAGGTTAACGCGAACCTTGGGTTAATTCACAATATTGTTTGTTAGTCAGCACGATACTCGCATGAATTCAGCTGACTGCACCTCGCCACGTTGGGAAACACATGCTGAAATCAGCAGGGAGCACAGAAAACAAGCGTGGGAGTAGGATACTAAGTATTTTGCTCGCCCGCTAAGGTAGAATCTGAGCACCTTAACTGTGTTTATTTTCCCATTGCTTTTGAGGACAGCGTTACCCCGCTCCGCAGACGTGGAGCTGAAGCACAGAGGCGGCTGTGCCCAGCATCCCTGCGGACCTGGGAGCGTGAGGGATGGGGCTACGGGCCCTCCGAGGGGCACTCGAGACATGTCCATCAGGACTCAGCCCCAACCTGCAGCCACCTCTTTCTTGTGGCTCTATTTAAACTGTTCAAAGCAGAAAAAGCCGATTTTTTTAGCTTTGATACCTGCTGATTCAATTGCAGTGCTGGACTGCGTGCGTCTGCCGTGAGAGCCCCCGCGATACTTTTCTCTCTGGGGATATAGCCTGGAGCAGCTGGTCAGCTTGGGAACTAGCTCCCAACACGGACGCTATTGCCCCACGCTTGGGAAGAGAGCTCAGCTGCATGGCTTAAAGCCAGATAAAAGCCCAGACATTAGGAGATAGTGCTGAAGGGCCACTATGCATTCATTCCTTTTGCTTACTCTTCAGAAACTTTCCTATGCAAAGAAACCCTAAGAAGAGAGCCTCAAAGCCCTGCTGCGTTCCTCCCCATCTGTTCCTTTCCGGAGTTCCGCGGACTCCGGGGTTTGTGCCTTTCCCTGCAGCGCACACAGCCATCCATCCCACCACCGCTGCCCATCCTCCTCCTTTTCTGAAGGGCCCCCAATAGCCCATCTGTTCCAAAAGATGTTTCGTTTGCAGACGTACAAGCCTTTTAACACCACAATACCCTTTAGATAGCATCAAATAGGTTTTCTGGCTGGTTTTAACCTAAACTGACACATATATGGCACAACATTATATATAACATGCTGAGGTGGACCAGAAATGGGCAAATACTCCCAGGAACCCCATGCATGTCTCAAACCCCAAGTTTCTGCACTGGAATATCAAGGAGTAAACTACTATAAAGTAGTTGAATCAGTTGTGCAATAAATTGTTAGTTTATGTATATTTTAATTGCAAATCAACGCTATAATTAGCACGTACATTTCTTGGGCTGAGGCAACGCAATGTGCTTTAACAGTGAGCATTATTAATGGACTGTAAAAGGCAATGGGGAATTGGATTATAATGTTCTCATTCTGCAAGCTGTATGGTGAATAAATAAATTTGTTCTGGCAGCAAAATTAACTGGAATAAATGCTTCTAGCTCCATCCACCAAGAAGAGGGGTTGCTGTAAATGAACTTGTTCTCAGCCTTGAGTTAGAAAACCTGATTACCAGGTCATTATTTCTGGCAATTAGGTACCAGAACAACATCAGAGAAAGAAGAGATTTTCTTTGAAATATTTAATGAGTAA